TGGCACCCAGATGAGCGGGGGCTGGTTCATTCTGTGATTCACAAGTGGTGGGCTTGAGTTTTCGCCAGACAGTAGCCTCTATCCCCCCCAAGGAGCTGAGGGCTGCAACTGAATATGATCTTTCGATTATTTTATATGGTTTCTAAAATATCTAAAATATCAATACTCAAACAGTTTTCTAAAGCTCAGTGTGATGTTTTGAAAAGTCTCAAATATTACAAAAATATTTAGTTTATTATAAGATCAAGAAAAGGATCAAATTCTGCGCTGTAAGAATCACTCTTCGCTTGAAAAACTGCAGCATGACGCAGATTTGTGTCAAAAAATATTAAAATTCACCAGATGCTAAAATGACCTTATCCAGATGTTGAGTACCAGAAGCAATGATCACACCCTGATATGCTCAGAGAATAACTTCTCTGCCAGACTGATGTCACCTATCTTAAAGAGCAACAGTCATCCGAACCAGTAACTGGTGGGTGTGGCGCATTGATCGATGGGACTGGGCGATAAATCGGGATGAATTATGGGACTTTTGAGCTCTGCGCACACAGCCCATAATGAGGCTGGCGATAGAGATGAGGAATATAGGCGGAATTGAACGTGAGCAGATGCCTATTGTCGTCTTGTGTTTCTGTGCACAAAGGAATTGATCTTAGGGCACCGGCTGAATGACCACACCTAATTGGATACGACAAGACTGCATGATACAGATCAGGAGAAGTGCTGTAGAGGCCTTAATGCACACGGGAGAGGTTCTGGGCAATGGAGGCCTCAGACATCAATTTATTACTGTCTCTCCTCTGAGCAGTGGAAAAAGCCACAAATTCACATTTCATTAGTTAATGTTTATTTAGCCCAGGCGTCCGTAAAATAAAATAAGAGTCTTAATGAACTCGATGACCTGCCGAGTGCTGACTGGCATGATGACGGTTTACTCCCTGAGTGTCTGCACTCTGCCCATCCCATTCTGCCTGTCCACAGCTCAGATCATAGAGGAGAGAGGAGGAGGAGGAGGAGGAGGAGGAGGAGAAGAGACAGAGAAAGAGAAAGAGGAGGAGGAGAGGGCATTGACTCTTAACAGCAAGGGTTTAGTTGCCGGTGTCCCTCAGCGCAGACACCGTGCAGGATCCTCGCCGCTGTCTGTCTGCATGCCCCTCCATCCATCAAGTGCCTAGTCAACTATAAAACAAACAGACCAGCCCCTAGACTGTCTACACACACACACACACACACTGCATTTCTCCGCCTGTACACACACAACTTGAAAACAAAAAGAATTCCCTTAATGCTGAGGCTTCTTTTTCATCGAGTCTGAGATGATGCATAAAGGAAGAAAGCAAAATATACCAAGGCTTGATATGGAAATGATCAGGCTGACACATACAAGGCCGCCCACCTGCCATAGCGTGCATTCTGATTTTATTAATCCTTCGAATAAATCCAGAAATCTGGCCTAATAATAGAAATAATGCAGTTATTGAAAATATAGGCCACGTTTACAGCCTGCAGGATTGGAGAGTGATATTCCTGAGACGACATTGAGCTAAATTCTTCCCTCGACTGCAAAAAAAAAAATCTGGATAGGGATGCTCTCTCTATTCTCTCTCTCTCTCTCTCTCTCTCTCTCTCTCTCTCTCTCTCTGATTCGTGCGTTTGGCGGTCACCCACAAAAAAACAAAAAACAAAATGTGGAGTTGAACGAGCTTTGCAGAAGAGCCTCATACTGGATGGCCCAGTTTTTGATGAGGGGATTTGTCACGGTGAGATATTTCACACCCTGAGTGGATGGAGAGCTGACTGGCTGCGTGGCTGCAGGAGCTGGCGCTGAAGGGGACCGGGGATGTTGGGTGGGGTCGCTGCATTATGCTGCGCGGCTCTGAGTCAGGCGGTGAGGGGCAGGTGCGGCAGGCATCGAACAAACGCTGCTGCGTATGTGATGGAAAACCTCCTCCTCTGTGGTGCTGATGCTGATTCACTGATTTGATCTGTTTGATTCTGGATTGATCCATATGCGTCACAGATATGACAAACTGCATCCTAAACTCGCTCTTACGCATCAGCATCTGTGCCATATTTATAGAAGCATATAAATAAACTCTCATTTTTGTAATGACGAGAATATTAAAATGCTGCTTCTGAATAAAACGTATTGTTTTAATCATTAGAAGTGACTTGCAGATGAATTCGGCCGCTCCCTCTCACCAGCCCTCAGCATCCTTTTGTGCCATGGGTGTCGCCACAGCCTCAGCATCCTCAAACCTGCGAAGCCACAACCTTAAAAATCACAAGATATCAAGTGTTCAAAACTCACCGATTGCGGTCTTAGCCATTTCTGCAAATACGGTGGTGATGCCGGGGTGCGTCGACCGGAGGAGTGTGCGTCGGTAGCTGGATGCTGTTGTCTCGGGGTGGAGGGACTGCTGGTAAGGCACTGAGTCAGCAGAGACGGGGGCTGCTGGTGCGTCCTGGTGGTCTGGAGTGAGCTGCGTCAAGTCGCAGGGAAATAACTAGAACCCGGCAGGAAGTGTGCAGACTGAGCCTTCAGAATAAAAGCCTGGACTTTCACAGGTTCAGGGAGAATAAATCCACTGAAGTCCATAGCAAAGAAAAGGTGCAAAAAAAAGAAAGTTGGGATTGGCTCCAGATCCAAACCTTAAAATGATAAACGGTTTAGATAAGGGATGGGTGGATGGATGGATGGATGGATGGATGAATGACTGGAACACTGGATGGCTGGATGAATGAATGGGTGGATGGATGTCTGGATGGATGGATGGATGGATGGATGAATGAATGACTGGATGGCTGGATGAATGAATGGATGAGTAGATGGATGGATGGATTGATGGATAGATTAATTACTGGATGGATGGATGAGATAAGTTGGTAAAAGTCTTAGTTACCAGTTGACTTTGGAACTACCTGTAAGTGTTGGTTTGATTACGGCTTGGAGATAAGACATGGCAGCTCCATAATATAACTGGGTGCCAGGCCTATGAAGCAAGGCAGGAATTTGAGAGATATGGGTGTTGACTGTTACATGTAAACAGTTCATTGCAGTAGTCCCACGCATTAAGTATTCCCATAGAACACACCGGATCATTAGTTTGCATCAAGCTTGCTTTATTTTGAAATCCCTGGAAGGAAGTCACAGTATATGTGACCTGATTGGCTTGACACTGACTCAGTAATGAGCGTTTATGTGCCTCTTAGATCTTACTGGGTATCACACTCCCCTGACGCGCCTCTCCTAATCACAGCCCTGACAAATCCAATGTCCCCTTGTACTGGAGAGTTCAGGCCCTGCCTAAAGCCAACAGGGTGTTTCCCTCTTTGTTCCTCCGGTGGAGGCCAGGTGCGGAGAAAAAAGGTCTGTCCATGGTGCTGAAAGGAAGAATCTTTTTTTGAAGGCATGACTTTTAGATTATAGGGTTGGGTTACTTTTTTAAAACACATTTTTCAAGACATTTAGGTTTGATAGTTCCTCGCAGGTCCTGAAAAATTAAGCCATTCCAGAAGAATAGGGCTGTGGCAGTGCAGAAGCCCTAGTCTTTTTACAATCTATTTGATTAACCTCCTAACGTCCCATATAATTCGTAAAAACACCTGAATCATTACAGGTTACCACCTTACTGTAGAAAATACTGATGGTCAAGACCATAAAGCAACAACCACTAGGTGGCAGCAAATCTCTCTCTCTGTCGCACATCTCTCTCTCTCTCTCTCTCTCTCTCTCCCTGAGCATATGGCTTCACACTCAGAGTAGAAGCACTGACTGTTTATTGTATGTTTATTGAATAACTTTTACAGACCAAGCTCCATTAAAAAAGATATGCAGAGAGACCTATACTCTTTTTCTCAAGTGTTTGCAGATTTCAGTCTATTTAAACAAGGCTAATTCAGGCCACTATAACAACTGGATATATGGTTGACTTCAGGGCAACACAAAGTGTCTAATCTCCTTATGAAAATGTTCTGTTTGAATAGCAGTTGGTTTATTGGAAACAGAATGTGGAGGATAAATGATTAACTATAATACAGCTTTGAGTTGAGGTTTGTAATGATGAAGTAGAAGAACTGAAGTAAATATTTCCAAGGGGGAAAAAAATATCTATTGAATGACAACATTAGAAAAACTTGAAAAATCTGAAATCTGAAAAGTATTCCCCCCAAATTGAAAGTTTTACACAAAGGAAAACATGTCCCTGTTCACTCTAGAGGAGGAGAGGAGGTTGTTGTGTATAAATATATATATATATATATATATATATATATATATATATATATATATATATATATATATATATATATATATATATATATATATATATATATATATATATATATATATATATATTCAGTGATGGGTGGCTTTGCTCAAAGCTATGGAACTCATGACTTAAATGTGCAACTTAGTGAATCAGGACTTGTGCATAGATGTTGGACATATAATTGGCCCCTGTGTAAATTGTGAGCTGTTATAGCCCCCGATTTAGAAAAATCCTTTATCCACAACTGCAAAGTATTATCAGCATCTCCATTTGTTTATTTCTTTAGATAGATAGACATACTTTATTCATCCTGGAGGGGAAATTCTTGAGTTCCAGCAGTACAGACATGTGCAATAAATACAATTCTTCATGAGTACAATTTATTTTCCATGTTGTTCTTATTCACTACTCTTTTCATCGTTGATATGATGATTTGTTTGTCTGTAAAATGCCAATAAAGCTTACTGCATTGCACTTAATGACACAATCATTTTATTAAGAACAAGAAACATGCATTGGTCAGTCAGGCCTTTATCATTAATAAAAATAGACACAGTTTTAGACCAAACAGTTTTATTTGCAGTAAATTTAACAAACATAGTGATAAGGACGATAAGGAACTAATTTAATACAAGTATGGATATGTAATCACAACTAGTGCGATGACTTTTCCTCGCCTCTGATTGGTTGACTCACGCATCGTTGACCCAATCACACCTGTGACTCACACTGAACACCTGGAGGACCGCATCACCAAAGAAACAATCCGCTGCGGGGCACCTACAGTCGATGCTAGTTCCTCCTGCGCGGGGACTGACAGACTCACTGTCATCGATCAATCATCAACATTTAATCGATGAATAATCGTGTTTATGATTGATTGGTATCGATATCTGGTCGGTGGGGTTGTGCCACACAGTGTTCGGAGGTTGGAGGAGGATGAGGAGGAGCTAGCTGCTGCTGCTGGAGGTAACGGGAGAGAAAACTTGTCCCCCTCGCACATGTGGAGCTCAGTTTGGGTTCTGCTGCTTCCCCCTCGGGAGAAAACAAGACGAAACACAAGGTATCGTGACGCTATCAACTCTCCTTTCTTTGATGTAAGGATGCACAGTCAGTCTGGAAGGTTGGCGTTAGTCTGCAAATGGCAGAAAGATGCAGGTAGTTTTACTAACGTCGCTCACATGTCAGTCACAAGCCGTTAGCATGCCCATCACCAGCATCATGGATGTGCTCCGCTGCTTAAGCTAGTACCCGAGGAGCTAAATGCCACTATTCGCAGCTTCAAGATGGACACCGGTCCCCAGTGTTAGCTCGTGACTTCATGCGAAAGCATCCAAACACGGTTTAACCATCCCTGCTGGTTTGTATTAGTCTAATGCTAATAAAGCTAATAACGCCGCAGGCACTAATCAGTAACATTAGGCGAGCGTGTGTGTTGAGGTCACATATAGTAACTACGTGAGTTGCTACTGAGCGATCGTTGTTGTCGTCGAAGTGCTCCGAATAATCCACGTCCTCATTCCGATCGCACACCACAGTATGGTCACGTCTTCAAGAGCACACGTTCATGTCCGTGTGTAAGAGGAAACTTTTTTCTCATCCGTCAGCGAAGCGTTAAAAGTAAAGTTGGCCTGTTTGATATGTCTGTTCACTTATGACGATGAGATGGGCGAGGTAGGGGAAGAGGCTGAGTTGTGGGGATTATGATCCTTGACTTTACAGAGATGTCTTTAAACTTGCAAGGGAAGCACAACTTCAGCAGCCATATTGGCATGCAGATGAGATGCTGGTATGATTTCATTGGTCCCATAAAAGGACACACAGCTCTTGAACCTCTGAGAACCACTCCTCCTGTCTCGATGAATGGATGGACAGAAATGTATGACTGTAGTGAAGACACACATGGGAAAATCTGTAAAACTTTGTAAGTGTTGGAAATCAAATCAAATCAAAAAAAATTCTACGGTGCAAGTTCAACATTCTAAAAAGATATTTTTGTTATCTGGCTTATCTGAATTTCACATTGTCTGTCCTGCATAACCTGCACTGTATTCGGCTGGCTCAGTAAACACTGAGTTTTCTTATCAAGCTACCAGCATGTTCATGTAGAAGAAGCAGAGTTATTAGTTATAAGCAACATTGTCAGAATCATGAACAAAGTTCTTAAAATGCTGATACCTGCAGGTAAATTCAGCAGCAGCGACAGACAAAAGTGCCATCCAGTAAGCAAACAATATGATCACATTATCAGAATATATGAGAACCCTTCCAAATAAGGTTTGTGATTTAAAGGCAACCTAAAGACTTTCTGTAAATACTCATATGAATATACTGAGTGAGGATTTTTGTTTAATGATGAGCAAATTGTTTTTAACAGAAGCTTAGGTAACATCAGACTATTTCTGCTGCCAAAGCAAAGAATAATAGCAGACTGAAATATCCATTCAAACTTCACTGAAACATTATGATATTCTGCAAAAAAACACATATCTGGCCAATATTTAACACTGTAACTCATGAGCTGAAGAGGAGAGATTATCATATCTATTTCAACCTCATTGGTCGGCAGAGGTACCTTCGTCAGTTCCACGCCTCATGAACCAATTGAAATGAACCAGTAATTGATACATACCACCCTTTCTCTTTTCCTTGTTCCATACCTCTCTGCCCACACCTTCTGCTCTGTTTCTGATGCTGCCTGGAATCAGTTGGTCCTCTTTACCACTCCCCCCATCACTGTCCTGTTACCTCGTCTGAGTCCAGGCTGAAGGCTGTAACGAAGGATGGTTGCTGAGGCAGACTCGGGCTCTCAGAGCAGCGGTCTGCGGCTGAAGCAGGAGATTTCCCTCCTCCATGGGGTCTGTCTCATCGTGGGAAATATGATTGGTTCTGGCATCTTCGTCTCACCTAAGGTAGGATGCTCCGCTTTGTTGAGCCGAACGAGTTATTTGTCAGATAAAATTTGAATAGTTGCTCTTGTGGCTTTCATCCTAAAAATGTATGTTATTCAGACACGTACGTTTTAATTGAATACTAATAAGGGTTTCTGTTGCAGTTGCAGTTTTTACCATGTCTAATTCTAATGCATTTTGCTGCTTATTGTTATCTGCTAGTTTGTAGTACAAATAGTGTTATACATGCTACTGTGTTTACTATAGAAACTGCCCTCATTTGTTATCCTACAGGGCGTTCTTCTATATACGGGCTCATTTGGCCTGTCCCTGGTAGTGTGGGTCATTGGAGGAATATTTTCTGTTTTTGGAGCGTTATGCTATGCTGAGCTTGGAACCACTATCCATAAATCTGGAGCTTCCTACGCCTACATCCTGGAGGCCTTTGGAGGCTTCTTAGCTTTTATTCGGTATGTAGTTTTTTTGCTTTTCCTGTCTGCGGATACTTTCTTATAAACATTATGCTGCAAATAATACCTAATAGAAGCTTGTTGCTTGCTCAGCAGGTTCTTTGTTTTGAGTTATCCAAGCATCGAACATAGTTTGAACTTAATCCTGTTAAACTATTATCTTTTGACGTATCAGGTTACTTGCTTAAAGTGCCAACATTATGACATTAGTGCAAGCAGACATGACATCATAGAAAACATTGACCTTTTCCCAAAATGGTAGAAGAACATCAAGTTTAACATTATTATATTGCTAAAATGTATCTGAATATTGTACTCATGATGATAAATGTGTATCATATCTAGACTTTGGACATCATTGTTGATAGTGGAACCAGCCTGTCAGGCAGTGATAGCCCTGACCTTCTCCAACTACCTGGTCCAACCTTTTTACCCAACGTGTTCAGCTCCCTACATTGCTGTCCGTCTCATCGCTGCTGCCATTATATGTAAGTCTCTACCTGTACAGAACACACTTACATGCTGTATTTAAGCTGTGCACAGTTTGTGTTTACATGACTGAGAAAAGGGTGTGTGTGTGTTTGCGCTTGTGTGCATGTGCGTCAGAGGTGGTTTGCAGTGTCCACAGAATGCAGTTCATCACGTTGGAGCTGTTGTTTTCATAAAGTCTGGAAACAATTTGAACAACCTTTTTTTATTTCCTGCATGGACCACATAGTGATGTTAAAACATACCTTCAACAATCAGCAGTGCATTAAATGGCACAATTCAACACTTTACACAAATGGTCTGTTCTCATATTCGCTGGAAGCAAGGTCCATTGGGAAACTGTTGTTGTATTTTGTTTGTTTGTCAACAGTATACCCAGACAAAGATACAAAAATAGTGGGCTTTTTCATATTTAAATCAGCAATATCCAGTTTTTCATTTTCTATTGTTTTAGTTGAAATGTGCTGCAAATATATTTTAATGTAGAGAGGTGTCATTTTGAATGAGCTGCAGCTGACCTATGCATTGTTTGGGCGATTATGCAAAGAGCATTACAATAGTCAAACCTGCTTGGGATGAATGCATGAAAAATTTCCAGAGGATTAGATTTAGAAGCAAGTCTTTTAAGGTTTAATTAAATTCCAGGGCAACTAAACAATGTTTGCCTGGCAACAATACAGAGGTATCTTCCTGTAAAATGTTTAACTGAAACTCGCTCTTGTCAAAACCAGTTAAGAGGAGGATCTTTAGTTGACTGAAACATGAAGCATTTTGAAACATATGTCATGATCAGAAAATATTTTCTTCAAAAGTTCCTCACCTCAAATTTGAATCCCTGCTCATCTATTCTGCATTACTTGTGTCCATCATCCAACATAAACTGTAGATTTTACATTGTTTAACTGCTGTTGTCTCGTCCTGTCTCTCCCTCAGGTCTTTTGACTTGTGTGAACTGCATGAAAGTGAAATGGGGTGCTATTCTTCAGGTCATCTCCACCGTAGCCAAGGTTCTCGCTCTCATCGTCATCATCATCACTGGCATGGTTAAGCTGGCACAAGGTAGGAACATCATATTAATTACTGCTGCTGTGATGTAATTAGTTTTTATAAAAAGATGGAATGTTAAAAATGTCATGTGTACTTCTCCAGTCAACCAATATCGTCTTCTTTTACACAAAAGATAAATATTTCATATATTGATCAGTGGCCAGTACTTTAAATCTAATATWGGTTAAAGTTTAAAATGCTAAGCTAATATACAGTATCTAATAGATAAACTATCTGTTTTAGTTATTTTCGCACATTAGTTATTTAACAAACAAGTGTATTCAAATCCACATGTCTTGTATTTGGCACTTGATTCTGTCAAATGGGACGTATGGATTCGTTCATGTTTATAGTTTAACAAGTTCTGGCAGATATTGATGGAAACTGTATATGAAATGCAGGAAATACTTAAAGGTCAGTTGGTTTTAAAAACTGCACTGCCTGTGTTGGGATTAATGTACCAACTCTGTGTTGTAGGTTTTGACCAGAACTTTGAGGACTCATTCAAAGGGTCAAAGCTGAACCCTGGCGACATGGCCTTGGCCCTTTATTCAGCACTCTACTCATACTCAGGCTGGGACACTCTCAATTTCATCACAGAAGAAATCAAGAACCCAAAGAGGTATGAAGTGCGATGAAGAAGAGATCTCAAATACAACAGGGCTTTTTTTACTTTCTTTTGTGTAACTACTGTATATCTAGAATAGCTTTAATCTTAAAACTCTGTAATCTTCCTTCCTGAATTTCACATATCAATCCCCCATTTCAGTAGTATCTTGTTTTTTATTATAGCTATGAGTCGGCAGTTTGCTTTAAGTGAACATAAACCACTTTTTCATTTGCCCTTGTAGGAATCTGCCCTTATCCATCGCTATTTCCATGCCTATTGTAACAGTGATCTACATCTTGACCAACGTAGCTTATTACGTCGTCATGGATGCAGACAAAGTGCTCAGCAGTGAAGCTGTTGCCGTGGTGAGTATCTGAAGATCATTAACTTGGTGCAGTCCTCTGGAAGCTTAGAGTCTACAATACTAATATCTACCCATAAAGCTTATTAGTACATCACAGGACTCATCCAGATTGTCAACATCTGCTCAGTCTCATAGCGACAGCAGGGTTTGATCTCCATCCTGTCGTCTGCTGTCATCTCTTTCAGTCTGGCTGGAAGCCACTGGCACCAGTATCTGGTTCAGTTCTCCCTTTTAGTTATTTGTGACTGTAGGGGTTGAGATGATGACAGAACCTCATTTAGCTAAAGAGGTTAGCGCTCCACACAGGAACATGGGGAAGTTGATGATGTTATTGGTGCACAGGGCAGAGGAAGAGTTGTATTGTCAATCGTATTTAATATTATCCTATTAGAGGATGGTCTAATGGTTCTTTAATGTTCTGACAGTCAACATGCCATTGACTCTGTGCGCTATTGAATTAAAGCAGCGAGATAAAGCAAATGTTTGTTTTTATGACTAGCTTTGTCAGATATTGTTTGGTGACGACACCAGTCATTGTTCTATGGGCATTGAGGAGACTTTACACAAAGTACCACATTGAAAAGCGCTCAGAGGCTCATATTATCTCATAGGCAAATAGCCCTGAACACATGGAATTTTTAAAATTTTTGAATATTATATTTCGGCACACATCAGTTTTCAATTCTAAGTCAATATTTGTTTGCTTTACTTAAGTACTTAGTGTTTTCCTAATTTTTATTAAATTGAAATTATTTAAATTTGTTATATTATATATTTAAATATGTATTATCTTCTTAAACTGATCTTACCTGCTAATAAATGTGAGCAATAAAGTTTTGATTGAATGTCTCTACAGACATTTGCGGATGAGGTGCTGGGCTGGGGTCGCTGGTTGATCCCCCTTGCTGTGGCCATTTCCTGCTACGGAGGTCTCAACTCCTCCATCATCGCTGCCTCCAGGTCCATGAACACGCAGAAAACATTTCTGTTTTAAAAGCCTATTTCTGCCAATTCAATGACTTGAATGTTAATATGTCTAAAAAAAATCGATGGATAACATAGTGATCTTTTCTCACCCTTGCACCATTTGTTTTCTCCTGCAGGTTGTTTTTTGTTGGTTCCAGAGAAGGCCATCTACCTAGCGTCCTGTGCATGATCCACATTAAGCGTTTCACTCCAATTCCTGCCCTGCTTTTCAATGTTAGTGTTTTGGTGGATTTTGAAATTAAACTGCATATTCGATTGTTTTGGTCTCATCTAGAAGCCTCTACATAGGATGCAGTGTTGCTTATTACCAAACTCAATATTATTTTGTATGTGTCTGGTCTTCTGTTCCCAGGGTGGCATGTCTCTGTTGTATCTCTCCGTGCCTGACGTTTTCCAGTTGATCAACTACTTCAGTTTTAACTACTGGTTGTTCATCGGCCTCTCAATTGCCAGCCAGATATATCTTCGCTTCAAAGCTCCTGACCTGCCCCGACCTGTTAAGGTAGATGCAGCATGACTCTAGACATGTATTTCACTTTGCATCAGTGTGGTATGAAACATGCCGAGACATGGAGTTAAGTTCATACAGGTAACCACAGTGGCCATTTATGTGTGATGCTTCATGTTCTGTAGTAACATAGTTGAGAACAGGGTTTCTAGAAAAACGTGCTTTGTGTCCAACATTTTAAAACTCAAAAAATCACAGCTGTGTTGGTAGAAATACTGAACATAGTTTTCATTTTTTTTTTATGTAGAAATGATTTAACTGACATAGATTGATCTTTTATTTTCTACTTTTTGTCACCTTTATTGTAAGCCCATACCTCTGCCAAGAATCAGCTGGACCCAGATTCTTATTTTAATCCACACCAAATTTCAAACACCATTCATACACTGTTAGTACAGGAGTCAAGGGTAATTTTGAGGTTCAGTATCTTGCCCAAGGACACTTCTCCTAATCTGCAGCCACCACCATGATGATGCATAAGCGTCATGGTTGTCATCTTGATACAAAATCAGGAGACTTCAATTGAAAAATGAAAAAAACGATTGCCTTGCACAATAAGAGATGAAAGTGATGTGATATAAGTGAGAATCTATTTGGCCCTTGACCCCTTGTGATGTAATCAAAGTTGAAAGGGGGTTGAGTACTTTGTGTTTGCTTTCTTGATTGAATCTTATTGGATTTCCACGAACAGTCAGCTGATAAGAAGAGGTGGGGAGAGTGAGACAATTGTGAATGAATGAGACACAGAAAGTCTTATGATTGTATTAATGTTTCATAACCAGCTTAGCCTGATTAGCTTTTTTACACATACACAGATCAGGACTGGACGTGAAGTGATAAATTGTAGCATGCAGTGAACCCGGAAGCGTGTACAGTCATAATGATTCTACACTCTAATGCAGGTTTTTCCTTTTAATGTGTCACCAGCCTGTTATCAAATAAAATCACAGAAGGTTTATTGTCACTACTCAACTTTTACTGTCACCGTGGTTGTGACATTATGTCCTCCTCAATGAATACACAATGCTAAACTTTATTGTAGCAGTTTGGCAGCAGAGTCACAAGCCTCAGATGCCAGAATTGCAGAACTAGTTTTTTTATGATTTGATAGTGCATAACAACTTCAATGTTTTCCTATCATAAACTGTAATTTGAATATGATTAACATTATTTGAATTTCCCTCCGGGGATTAATAAAGTATTTCTGATTCTGAAGAAACTTTAAGAAAGCGATTTAGCATAAATCACATTTTAACCTACAAGACTCTAGACACAGCAGAAATACAAGACTCCTGATTGGCTAAAGATGCATTATGATGACATCTTCTCAGACCTCGATCAATCTATAGTTAGTCATCATTTCATCAAAAATCATTTATTAGAGCCACTACTAAATCAGCAGGAGGTTTGTGGTTTAAGCTAAAAATATTTATGTATTTGTTTCGGTTATTTAATCTTGCTACTTTTCTCCCTTCCAAACCATTTCCCTCCCTTCATCATCACCCTCCTCTCCTCACTTCCCTCCTGCAGCTGTCTCTGTTCTTCCCGATCGTTTACTGCCTGTGCAGTGTGTTCCTGGTGGTGGTGCCTCTCTACAGTGACACCATCAACTCTCTGGTAGGAATTGCTGTGGCACTGTCCGGAGTCCCAGTCTACTTCTTATGCATCTACTTGCCACCCAGCTCCAGACCATCTTTCTTAAGAGAAATACTCGGTAAGAGGCTTTGAATGACACTGAGTTGCATGTCCAGTATTTTATTTTGCAACTTGATTTTCTCTTCTAATTGCAGATGTATATTAGTGTACAAAAATGAAACTTAAACCATCATGGGTGCCAACATGTATAATTTTCAATAGGTTATAATTCTGTCACTTAATGCACAAATAGTATTTTAGAACCAGACACTTTATGAGTAACATCTATAAAAAAAAAAATGCACGGCAGGTCACCCCTTGAAAAACTGTCTTTTGAGGCTGGAAAGTTACTTTGGTTACTAAATGACCTCAAACATTGTATTTTTTAATTTCTTGTCACTCATTGGAAGACGAATACGTTGATGCAGATATATCTGAAATGGGCCAATGTGTCAGCCTGGCCAATCTAGGCAGAATTGAAATTCCTAGTGGGATTTAACAAGAGGCCTCACTTTGTATTTTTAATTTGAAACATAAGCACATAAGCACATAAGCACAAAGTTATCGTATGAGTAAGCTCAACAAGTTTCTGTGTGAATGAATATCCTTGTGTAATGATATTACGTGTAACTTTTCAAAAGTAGCTTACTAGCTTACTCTTAAATCTTGCATGCAGCAGCTACTGTAGACACATGTAAAAAAAAAAAAACACCTTGTTAGTGTTAAAGAGATGAAGAGGGATTGAGATTAGTGTTAAAATGTTCTCTGTACTGCTGAGAAAACACTGTACAGGGTTCTGTTGTGCAAAAAGATATGTATTCATGTGAAACCCCTGTAGATGAAGAATACCCCCTCCCAATTCTATTGTTTTTTCTCCTGTTTTCCTTGAACAGTTATTGACCTGGATTTTTTTTTTTCTCTCTTTCCTCTGTCACTTCAGACGAGAGCTCTCTGATCACCCAAAAACTGTGTATGTGTTGTGTCGCCTCCACTGACATTGATCTGGACAACATTGACCCAGACAAGATCGAGTGACGAAGTTCTCTAAAGTAACCAGAAGAAATGGGGGGATGACTGAAAGATGGAAGCTGCAGACAATCAAGATTTAAATGTGTAAGGTTGGATCGATTTTAAAGGAGAAAATGGACAGATTACTCCAACACACCTCGATCCCTCCACTCTCTCTCTCTCTCTCATGGTACTGCCCAGATTAACTCACACAAGAGCACATCCACACAGTGGTACATGATGCAGTGTTGGATCTGTGATTCCATCCTCACATGCTCAAACAGTGCAACTCACAGGCACATTACGGTGACACTGAAACACATAAGAAATAATAATCCAGTCCAGAGGGAGTTGATTCAGCAGAAGGGGCTCAGGGGATTCATTCAATAACAGAAAGAAGTTACAGGCAATACACAGGTGGGAAGAAAATGTTGTGTTCATGCCTTACATGCTAATGAAGCTGGTGACCCCTCGTCACAGTTTGAAATATCAGTAGGTCGTTTTTTTTATCTAAACATTTATAGGAACCTTAAGGTAATAACACTCCTCAGTACTCTCAAAACAAAGGCTTAAGTAGGAAAAATTTAGAGAAATCAAAATAGTTAAAAGGTCAGTTTGCTTTGCTTTGCTTGGTGGGTTTTCAGATGTATAGCTTACCTGTACGCAGCGCTACGTGAAGTCAAACAACGTACGACGGCCAAAAAGCCTGTTTAGAAACTGCTATGAATGGCGACAATTTTGCACATGTTCTCTTTATGTTGTTGTACAATTACCATGTTTATAGAAAGCTTTATTCTCATCTGTGAACTAAACTACAGGGGTAGAGGTTTTCTAGGAATTAGTAAAGCAAAGAGATTAAATACATTTCTGACAGTCAGTTTAAGCCAGGTGTAATGTGTCTGTTGACTCATGGTTTTATTTAAGCAGGAGTAATCCTACATGATCGTAACTGTTAACATGAACGTCCTTCCTGTGACATCTTTTCTCTTCTCAGCTAAATCCTTTGTTTGCATCTTCAGTGCCATGTTTGCTTTCTGGTGCCTCCTAGTGGCTTCAAGCAGCAATGTCTCAAGTGTCATTCATAAGTTTATATTTTTTTGTGTATGTTGCTCCTGTTGTTTATCACCTCATTCTCTCCTCACCTCAAGTGTTGCTTGAATCAAAAAGGCTTTAAAAGTCAAAGCTGACGTGAACCGTTGTGACTGTTTCCTGAGTCGGACACCTGTGTAGATACAAACCTCATGATCGACCATGCTGATGTGAGAACGCTGTTGCTGATTTAAATTCCTACTCGCTCTTGTCTTAAGAGTTGGTATCACAGATAAGATATTAACACAATATTGTCTAGAATACTTGGACCATTTATTCCACGGTACATAACTTAGTGTGTTGAACCTGTAGCAAAGTGTCTCTGGGTTCTAGTACGAGCATCATAGCTGTAGTTTGAGCTACAGGTAGAGACGAGCTGAACTTTAGTGTTAGCGTTGTTCTCTAGTCCTTATTGACTGTACGTGCCTTCTGTGAACGTGGTCTGCATAAAGGACTGCTCTGCTTTTGATATCGTAATGTACTTTTCTGTGAGCACAGTCATACTGACACACGTTGCTGTAGGAGTTGCCAAAATTTTCTCAGGATATTTTCCTGTTTTCAGCCGAAGTGGCTTCGCGAGCCAGATGTTGTCGTTGAAGTCAGTGAACTGTCAGCTGGAAATAATCAGGGCTCCGCTTGAATTTATTGTGTCTTCTCATAAGCACCTCCATAACACCAGCCAACAGAAGAACACGTATATATCTGTAATGTTGCCTTCTCTGGAGTTGATATGTAAACCAAACCAGCCAGTTGTGTGTGTGTGTTTTTTGTCAAGTGTCAAATATCTGGAGTAAAGAATATTTACATATATCTTCATGTTATGAACTGTTCTTGTCATGTTGTTTGTTAATTGATTAAACTGTACATTGGTAGACTTGCATCACAACTGCTTGCTCTGTTCACTGTTTTTATTTATTATATTCTAGACGTTAAGATAAAACAAGACACTGAGGCAGGAATGTGTTCTGTTTTTATCTGAATAAAAAACAGATTGTGCACTATAAGCACTTGACTTTGACTTTGTACTCTGTCACCTGCTTGAACTAACACAAATGTCTGCAGCCTTCGTGTTTGCACTGTGCAGCTGACGGCCATTAGAGGTCGTGGTCTCTTTCTAAAACTTAACCCTGTCAATTCTCTGCAGCTTGATGATCTGTCTCTATTCATTTAGACAGAGACATTTTAAAAACTGCCTTGAAGTCATCCGCCTCTCCAGGCTCCTGCTGATGACAATTGTGTTCAATATAGACAATTTTCTTTAACTTTTAATTTTTTCATTATGGATGGTCATTCACTTTGATCAACTGTTAGTTTGATAAAGTGCATCAATCAATAAATGCTGTGTAACTGTAAATATCATTCTCCAGTGTAGCCCTGTTGACTTTAGCAAAAGAAGAGTAAACAAAGTGACTCACCTCTGAAAAATAGTAACTTTCTAAATTTAAATGAATGGTTGCCAAGACAACTACAAATTACTCTTCACTAGGATCTAGCAACAGGCATCAATCACAAGTGCAGCGATTAAACAAGTTTGTCCAAACAGACGGAGACATTTTCTTGAATCTCTAGTTGTGGATTACTTATTACAAACTGCCACAAAGAAATATTGTCACATATGCATTTTTAATATAACAATCAGTTCAGTGTAGATATTACATGTATAACTCATTCTGCGCTTTTGTAGAAAATGTTTTAATTTTATGTTCACTTTGTGTTGAGGTTAAAAAATCTCCTGTTTTCTTTATTGCTTCTTTGTGTTTTGATAAATGTTGGACACTGTATTTTGGGGGGGCTACACACACACACACACACACACACAACCTGTTAATGGTGTCTATAAATGACCATCCACCTTCCAAGGTGGCTCGCAGAGCACCACCTCCTGTCCATCCACCCACCTTGGCTCCCCCGTGGCTCGGTGCAGCAGACGCATCACATTTCACCTAGGTGTGCACTCTGTGCCTCATATGCTACCCACTGATAGGAGCTCCTTCCTGGAGAGAGGCCTGGCTCTGTCCCTGTACCCAGGACCGAGGGAGTTGGGTTCCACTGACTCATGCATTAAAGATAAAGCAGTGGAGGGTGAGTGTAGCCGAGGAACCACAACAGCTACTATAACAGCTCTCCCACAGAGTGGAGGTCAGGCCGTGCTCAGAGTGGAGTGTGATCTGTAAAAGGTCCAGGCTGCTGGGTGTGTGCTCTGTACCTCTGATGCTCTGCAGGGAGTATCTGTCCTGGGGAGGGATAGAAGAGGTGATGGGTGAGTGGCCGCTACACCCTGGCACCTGCTCGGCATCATGGAGCTACATCGACGCCTGAACTGGATACGACACCGACCCTGGAGGCCTCATGTCTACCACCGGGAGTTCAAGCGTAAGTGCAGCCGTTCATATTTATCATAAATCCAGAGCGTTGCTGTCTTCGGCTGCATTAGTTGCTTTTCTCCATTCTCATATTTTAAGCTCCTTTCAAAATGTCCTTTTAATTGTCTAAGTGCTGCTGTGAACCTGAGAAGCTCAGCAGAGTCACTGCTGTGTTATCAAGTGACGTATTAGTGACTCATGCAAACTCTGTCCTGCTGCTTTGAAAAAATCCTCATGTGCTTCTTGCTGCAGAAAACACATTTCTCTATTGTTTTTCTCGTATCGGTGCATCGAAAAACCTGAAGTACTATTTCAGCCACAAAGGAAGATTTACAAACCAGACATCATACTTGGTGATTTGACTGTTTTCTCAGGTATTGTGGTTCAATTTCTGGATGATTAATATTTATTATTACCTGTTAGCTTGGTGGATTTTGTTGCAGAATTCCATCAGCAACAAATATTGACTCGTACATGGATGGATTATGAGACAACAGGTCCCTGGGCACAGACACGTAAAAGGCCCTTCATATATCCATATGTAGAAGCCACACAGCCAAACTGAAAGAAACACCTTGGTGGAGGTTGGACTCCACTTGTGTTTTTTTTGTCTCTGTGGGTGTTTTTGTCTATGTATTCAGTTTTTTACGTCTCAGCATCTTTGTGATCTTTGATTCTCTCCCTCATCATGTTGCATCAATCATGCTGTGTCATTGTTTTAGGCCCCTGTCGTTGTTCCGTGTCTGTACTTTTGACATTGCTGTCGTCATTTTGTGTCTCTGTATAATCGCCTCTTTTGTGTTAGCTTTGTAGTCCTTCTATGGATGAACTAACACTAATATGTTGGTCAGTTGCAACGTGTGCAGGATCAGATTAGAGATATAACATGCTTGTGTACGACTGACAAACATGAACTTAAGTCACGTGCACAGGAAACGTGTAGTGTCACATGCATAAAATGACAGCACATTAGTGGATCGATGGAAACTAAGAGCACATCATCAAATTTTAATCGAATTTTATCTTCCTCCTGGGAATCAGTAAAAAGTCTTCTAATGCATCGACTGCACATCTTGCACAAAGAGCAAACGCTGTTTCCTGTGGTTGTTCATGTATAAGTTCACTTATTATGTGGACTAGGTAACTGTTTACTCAGCAGTGAAGAGTCATAACAAAGGGGTAAGGTGATCAATAGAGATTTTATGACTAGGAAAATATAAAAAATGCTGATGTGTCTAAAAGACACGTCCTGCAAAACAATTCAGTTTGTCTGGAAGGTATTTTAACTGATATTTATTTAATTGTATTTAATGAAGGCAGCGAAACGTCGAGAAATGATGCACTGTTTGAGTCCTGCTGTTAGTGAAGTTCACGTTGAATAAGCAGCGTCACCTTTCTTTCATTTCTCACTCAGAATTGTTGAATAATCTCCAGTTTGTATTTCTAAAAATATTTGATCTCACACGTGCTGTAACCTTGGCAACCACTCACTCAAATTTAGAAAGTTATTCATATCTGAGTATTTTTCGGAGATGAGTCACTTTGATGGCAGTCTTTTGTTAATGCCTACAGGGCTACAACTAACTCTGGTGGGTGTTACTTACTGGAGAATTAAATATACTGTCACATAGTGTGTAACTATCAAGACATACATTTAATAATTTAACTATTTATTGGACATAGAAAGGGAATCAATGAGAACTTAGTACCAGCTTTACTTTGAACAATAGAATCTCATTTACCTCTTTGTCGTACATGGACTACAGACTACTTTTACATTGCATATAAATCTACCTGTACTAAAGAATCAACTCTTCTCAACTCTGAAGGCATGGATGGGGATTGAACCCATGATTTTTGGTTTACGAGACCAACGCCTTACCACTTGGCCACCATGCCCATATTGAAGTCTCATTGAAACACAAATGTCAACATTGTTGTGTCTATTTCTATGCTACTAAACCTTTGTGTTCCCAGTAACCACCAGCAGGGGGCCTCCACACTTTGATAATATGATTTACTGCTCAGCACAAATGCACACAGCACATAAACATGCTCTGAGTTCTGAGCTCAGAGGGAAGTGAAGCAAGATCACAGTTGCACATTAAAAAAAAGTCCAGCTAACGTGATGAAGACATTCTCTCTTCCTCCTCAAGAGTTTAATTCATCCTTCCTGTTTTCATCTGAGGCCAAGCTGGGACTCAAAGCATCTTCCATCATCATCTGATTTCTGAGTTCTCACTTTTATCTCCTGCGTTAATGAAGAGTGTCTCCCTCTTGATGATATTTGTATTTTTATTACTTCAACCTTAATGGAGGTGATTGAAATGAACCACTTTCATCAGAGGGTGTTGTTCACTTTCTGCGACCTGTCTGACTCCTGCTCATTTCTCTTCTCCTTCACTCTGGTGTTGTCTGCACCTCTCTCCCTCCCTCACCTCTGCCCTCCCTGCATTTGCTTTATTGCTTTCACTCTTTCTCGTGTCAGCCTCTCCTCTAACTTATCTTCTTCCTGCCCCGTGACCTCCCCCACATCTCCCACTCCCCTTATTATATCTCTCTTCCCTCCTCCCTCCTCTCTCGCTTCCTCTCCACTCCTCTTGCCTCCTCTCCACTCCTTTCTCCGCTCTTCCTCTCTTCTTGCCCTCTCTCACTCTCCTCTAGTTTCCTCTCGCCTTTTCCTCCATCCTCTCCTCTCCTCTTCTCTTGCCTCTTCTCTGCTTCTTTTTCTTCCCTCTCCTCTTGTCATCTCCTCTCGCCTCCTCTCCTATAGTTTCCTCTCTCCACTCCTTTCCTCTCACTTCCTCTCATCTCCTCTCCTCCCCTCTCCTCTCCAGTCAGATTTGTAATGGTGCTCACTCTAAAAAATCTTCCCACTCCATAGCAACGCGCCTCCTCACTCCTGCAGCCCTGCTGATGCAGGAGGCAGTGTTGGGATGTAAAACTACATCAGAGGAGATTACACATTGCCTCGGCTCATTTTCCACTTGTCATCTGTAGCGGGAAATGATTCTCCCTCAGCGCTCAAATGTACTTCCTTTCCTTCTTTATTCTCCTTTCTTCTAATTCCTATTACACTTCTTTTCTCTCTCTCTCTTTCTCTCTCCCTCTTCTTTTCTCTCCTGCTTATCTACGCGTTTCCCCCGTCCCTCCCTCCTCGCCAAGAAAACAATTCAATTCACGAGTTTTCAGGGCAAATGTGATAGAGGAACCAAGCCGGCCCTTTCTCTGTAATTTCACACAATAAATTCAACAAGCAAGGCTCCTGCGTGGGCAGCTTATGAACACAGAGAACAACTAATGGAAAGAGAGTAAGACAGGGAGAGAGAGAGAGAGAGGGAGGGGAGAATAAAAGAAATTGCTGCCTGCATATTCCAAAGAAGGAGTCCACGATAGGCTTTTATTTATTACTGCTGTAGCTTCCACTTCCACTTGTGTTTGACAGCACGTCTTCATCTACAAATACCTTCAATCATAACACTTAAAAGCCCGGACATGTAAATGATGCTTCTACTATTACAAG